TTATCTTAATCACCCTGCCTCTGTTTATAAACAAACTCCCTGCCCCAAATTCTGTGCTGCTCCCAGCTTCCCAACTCATCACATCTCACACTCAAGCTGTTGCAGTTGAGAGCTCGGTCTGGGGCTAGGGTGAGTAGACCTCCCCTAGGAAACTGGGGGTAGGGGGGAACTAGAGCCCTCCCCTGTTCCCCCTCCTTCTCCCCCAAATGGCACCCCTGCAAGTGACCACTACAGTTGAGAATACATCTTAGGTCTCCTGTGTCTCTACTTCCCTGTCACTGGGCCCCATTACTTGTTGTTATGGCTTTTAATTACTTTATGTTGGAACGGATGGCACGTGTTAGCATAATAGTGCCCAGCATAACAGATCATACTATCAGTTCCCAGCCGGCTTCATCTCTGAAACTTAAGGGTATTGTTTCCCTTGTACTTCACACAGTGGCTGGGAAATAACACAAATTTCAGTTCACAAAGTATTTGTCAAACCATTTGCCATCTCGCAGCCCCATGGCCACCAACACAGCAGGGAACAGTTCCTTGCTATGGGCATACCCTGCTTGAAAAGTCAATTCTGACATCTTGCCTATGAGAAGGGCAGGGGAAGAAAGATAACCAAAGCAAATGAAAGACCCACCAAGGTGGATACTTGCCCTCTTGAGAGTGCCACAGGGGACCCATTTTGTCATTCCTCACTTCAAATGTGAAGCTTGTAATCTAATCTTGTAAGCCAGTTTTTTTATTTCTTCTTTCTCATTAGAGCTTCACCGCAGTCACATTGAGACTGGATGACTGTAGTGCGTTCTGCATGGAACTCCACCAGCAGCCCATCTGAAAACTTCCACCAGTGCAGAAAGTGACTGTTTAGTTACTTAGCCAAGCTTCGTGTAGGGCAGGGGTGGGCAAACTATGGCCTGGGGGCCACATCTGACCCTTCAGATGTTTTAATCTGGCCCTCGAGCTCCTGCCAGTGAGCGGGCTCCGGGGCTTGACCCGCTCCATGTGTGCCATGGCTCCGCGCAGCTCCCGGAAGCAGTGGCAAGTCCACCCTCTGGCTCCTATGCATAGGGGTAGCCAGGGGGCTCTGCACACTGCCCCCACCCCAACCACCGCCCGCACAGCTCCCATTGGCCGGCAACCACCATTTCAACAAGATTTCATTTCAAATATTTTCTCCATTCTATAAATAGTGAGAAATGTTTCTTCTCATGTGAACTTTTTGGCTGTTTGATTGGGTGAACTGAGTGCATTTTTCTTTTAAAATCCCAAATTTTACTCTCAGTACTTGGATTTTAGAATTCCTGTACATAAATGGTTGGCACTTATAGCTTAATGGATGTCTGTTTAGGGACTACGCCATTGTGAACTCCTGCTTACATTGAACATGAATCAGACAACAGCACTCTAACATTTCAGAAAAATTACTTGTTGCTCAAGGAGTTCGATGCATGATTTAGTGCTTAAAAGAAACAAGTTAGAAACTCAGTAAATGCTTTAAGGACACCTTTCATGTACTAAAATACAGCTATTAGCACATTTATACAGAAAGCCTTTCACGTTATCCATGTGAGATAAATCCATTTGAACATATTTTATTACTTAAAATCCAACCTAGCATGTGTTTGTTGCTTGGAGTGGTGTGAAAATAAATGTGTGGGCATTGCAAAAATATAGGTTCTATTGCTAATCTTATAACACATTCTTTAGGGTGAGGAAGCAAAAAACATTCCTGGTGAATCAGTAACAGAAGAACAGTTTACCGATGAAGAAGGCAACATCATCACAAGAAAAGTAATCATGAATTGCAGTTTCACTATTCTGAATCGTTGTATTCAAGTAACTACTCTTACCAGGCTTTCTCCTTTGAGAATCAGGAAAGAAAATCGATACTTTTCATGTGTTGCTTCCTACAGGTCACCCGGAAAGTAATAAGACGTGTTGTTATCCCACATGAGAGAAAAGTTGGTGAAATGGTAATGGATGGGGGGGCTACAAAGAAATAACAGTAGAGGAGGGTTGTGCTGACTATCTATAAAGCGCTACTAAAGGGCTGGAGGTTTGCAATTTAACATCAAGTCTTGGCAAAGAGAAGTGCTTGCATTGTTGACAAGCTGTGCATCTGGACGAAGGGCAAGGTTTTACCATTGTAATGTTTACTGATAGGGTTCATTTTCAGAAAGATCTATTTTCATTGTGCTAGCAGCAAAAATCTTTTTCACACTAAGATATCAGGGTTTGTTTGTATAAAACAGTCAGTGGTTTTAAATTTAGGACTGGGTGTGAATTCTCCCCTTTGACTCCTCCCTCCCCTCAAAAATAAGTAGTTTCATATGTGTATTTTGGTTGTCTTTTAGCATCTTTACCCTGGACCTGATATGTGTTTTGTATCATTCCTTCACAAACAGAAAAAATATTTACCTGTAGTGAACAGGGGACCTGATCCTACAACCCCTTACTCATCTGAGTAATCCTTCAGTGGCACAGCTCATGTGACTAAGTGGTTTCAGGATTCAGCCTGCCATGAACATGTTTGGATTTTGGCAGTGTGAAAAAGAGAACATCAGGCCAAATCCCAAAATCCTTACTCAGGGCCAGCCTCTCTGGAGAATAGAATGAAAGTAGGGCTGCAAGTAGCTTCTGTCTGCCCTTCCATGCAGGAGCCATTTCCAACTTCTTGTATGCCCTGAAGCATAAGAACTGCTCTTTCTGTGTAACCTGTAGGGTACAAGTCATCCCAAAGTGACTAGGGGAGATGAGGAGGAGGGAAGCCTGTTCTCTCTATCTCTCTCTCTCTCTCCTGGTCAGCAGAGCTGGATGGATGCGCTGAAGGCAGTATATTGCATCCCTGAAGAGAAATAGCACAGGACAATGTGGCTGTCTTTAATGCAGCCCTAATGCAGGACTGTTCCTCAAAGGTGCTGTTGAGCCCTCAGCTTGAACTAAGTCTTTACTCTGGAAAAACTCATTGAAGTTAATGGAGCTTTTGTCTGAGTAACAACAGAATCACTGCTATTGTCCCTCTTCTGATAGTAAAACACAAGCAAATGAAAATAGAACAGAGTTGAAAATATAAATACCCATGCCCTCCTCCCCAGATGAAACTCTTCAGTCTTTTAGTCTTACCAGAAAAACATTACTGTTTAGTAAGGAAAAAATGGATTTGGAATGTACTGTGAACGAAAAATGGGTTACTTCAAATATAAATATAAATGAACCTTACCGGTGAATTCCACTGATGCCCTATATAACAAACACTTTTTACTCCAGTGTGAAATAGGCCCATTATTATCAGGGTATTTATTTTTAGATAAATATTAGGTTATTTTTAATTAATGTAGAATAGCTGCAGTTCTAGGTCTTGTTAGGGCTTTGATTTGATTATCAGTTAACAAGACGTCCGAAAACTTGGTCCAATCAGTTTATTAAACATAGATAAATCGACACAAACAGAGAGGATACCAACTCTTGGGAACAGGCTTGCAATGATCACAGCTTCAATTTTTCATCTGTGTCTATCCTAAAATATGAAGTTAATTTGACTAGTAGCCTTGTTTAAAGCAAGTAGAAGATTCACGCGTTAACTCCCCTTTTCTTATCTAACTTCATGCCTATTTTTCAGGATACAAAGACATCAGTCCAAATCCTCCCTAACATATTGTTTTCAGCACACAATAACATTCTGGATGTCAGTATTCTGGATAAACCATAGAGTCATGAACTGTTTTCTACTAATGGACCCAACACAGAATTCATATATAACTTTCCTTAACAGAACATACATCATACTTCTAACAGATTCTGCACATACAAAAAACAAAGGCTGGAACAGTATAACTATTAGTAGATTTCCACAATAAAGCTTAGCATAGGCACAAAGAATTCTGCTCATTGTTCTACAACTTAACCTAAATACAATGCATTTTGGAAATATATATGACATTGGCTAATAGTCTGCTGTTTTAAAAGACAAGAATCTGTAACTAACGCTACAGTTCTGTCACGGAAGTCACAGATTCCGTGATTTCAAGAAATGTCAGCTAGTTCTTTGGCTTCATCTTCAGTCCCTCTCGGGCTAGGGCTTTAGCCTCGGGCAGAGGGCTCAGGTTTGGGCTTCAGCCCCAGGTGGCAGGGCGAGGGTGACCAGATAGAAAGTGTGAAAAATCAGGACACTTTTTTTTTTTTCACAGGGTAGGAAGGGTATAGTTGCATATATAAGACAAAGCCCCTAATTTCAGGATGTCTGGTCACCCTAGGCAGGGCTCCGGCTTTGCCTTCAGCTTCAGACCTGTGCGGTGGGGCTCTGGCTTCAGCCTGAGTTTACTAGGCAATTTAAAAGCTTCTGTACTAATGCAGTGAAAACTGCATTACTTTGTGTACATTTCCATGATTGTCTATTGCACATGTCCTGTCCGTGACTTTTAATAAAAATACCCTTGACAAAATCGTAGCCTTATTTATGACACATGCACCGCTTGTCAGTTTCCTTGGCTTTATTTCTGCTGCTCTGCTTTGGTGGATTTTTTTGTTGGCTCTTTTTCTTCCTTTACTAACCTATTCACTTTAAAGCACAGTTGTTATGAGACCTCATAATAACTATGGTTTAAATTTTCAAAAGTGGCCACTAATTTTGAGTGCCTAACTAGGATGCCTATGGGTCTAATTTTTCCAGAGATGCTGAGCACCTACAAATCTAACGGACGTCAATGGGAAGCTCAACCCTAGGTGTTTCAAGTTTGGTACCAACAATGGAGGCATCCAAAATTAGTGACTATTTTTGAAAATTTAAACCTGTGATTTCTACTTTTAGATGATATTTCCAGCCTGTTTTTGCAGCTCAGCAGAGTGGTTAACTCTGAATTGTGTGTAACTTTGAAATGAAGTGTTGATGTGATTTAACTGCTTTTTACTTATCCTATTATAGCTACAAAGGACCTGTTTGGAAAAGATTTATAATTCCAAACACTTTCTGCATATGTGTTAATGTGTGTACCTTTTCTTGAAAGCAGGGAGAAGGTTATAAGGTTAAGACGAAGAGAGAAGTCAGACATGTGGAGAAGAAGAGTTATTCATAACAGCAGAACACTGAACGGTCAGTTTGACAAATATCATTCCATTGTTTAGGCCAAGAGCAAATACAGTACTAGTGCGCCAGTTAGCACATTGTATAATCAATGAACTCGTTTGCCCCTGCATCTGTTTTAAGCTGGGAAGTCCAATATCAGGCCCCCATACTGCAAATACGCACAAAATATGTGTGTGTTATTTTTTAAAACTATCTGTTGGAGTAGAGTTCTAGGAAACATACAGTTCTCAATTAACAAAATTTCTGTTAATAAAATCAGCCTTGAAATGTGAGAGGTAAATGACTTGCATACAAGTAAATGTGAACAGCATATCTTGAGTGAAGCACTTCTTTCAGTCACACACATAATCTCAGTGTTATGAAAGCCAATGTCCTTGTAAAATTCAGTAAAAAGTCTAAATATACATCAACAAATAATCCTTACCAAATGTTTCCTATGAATTTTATGGATCCATCCTTTACAATTATAACCAAACAGCTGACGATTTGTAGATTCTGCTGAAATAAAACCTATGCCAAATTTAAATGGTCATTATTGCAATTCCTCTGTATTACTTCTCTAATTACGAAGCCAGCAGGATTATTTTGTAGCAAACTTGATTATAAATGAAGAAAAGGATGTTCTGTATGGCGCTTTGTTTTGCTTCAAATGGCTGATGTTAGTCAGAGCTTTATTCAATCATGCCTTCCATTTTATGCATATACTGTACTAGGGTATTTTTAACCCTGAATTTTCCTTAGCTTTGTTTAGAGTATTTTTAATCCTTAAACCTACATCCCACAAGCAGTCTCTTTCCCTACACAGCCTGATACAGGATTGACTGTAGGGATACAGAATAAAATAAATAGTATCTGTAAAACTAATCCCAATGTCATTCTGAAGATAAGTTAGAGGAAGAATGAAGTCATCTCCAGACGGCCCGTGGTTCTCTGCAACGATTATATTGTACCCAACCTGAGGTTCACTAGCTCTGCAGCTTGTTCCTGTGAGGTCCTGGACAATTTAGCTTCAGTTCAGAGAGGCACGTGTGGATTTTTTAAGAATGTGAATCGTTTCATTGATTTCAACAGGACTATACACACATTCTTAAAGTTCGTCATGTACTTAAGTGCAGAATCAGGGCCAGAGCACTCAGGATTTCACAGGATCCAGCCTCTGAAGAGCAAGCATCTCAAACCTGAGTACAGTAGAACCTCAGAGTTACGAACACCTCGGGAGTGGAGGTTGTTCGTAACTCTGAACAGAACATTATGGTTGTTCTTTCAAAAGTTTACAACTGAACATTGACTTAATACAGCTTTGAAACTTGACTGTGAAGAAGAAAAAATCTGCTTTCCCTTTATTTTTTTAGTAGTTTATGTTTAGCACAGTGCTGTACTGTATTTGCTTTTTGGGGGTTGGGGTCTCTACTGCTGCCTGATTATGTACTTCCAGGTCCAAATGAGGTGTGTAGTTGACTGGCCGGTTCATAATGCTGAGGTTCTACTGTACTCACTTTCTCTTGGCAGCCTAATAACCAGTTGCCAGCCCCCCAGGTCAGCCTAACACCATTTCTGAATTGACGTGTTTATTCTGAAACATCCAAAGTATGGTAACAGAACTAATACCACTTCACGGTGTGTCTGCAGAATGTATTCATACAATATTTAGGTACAATGAAAATGAATGTTCTTAATGAAACTCTTTCTCACTTGTGGAGTTTTGGCTAACTTACCACTCTGTAGAAAGCAAGCCAAAGAGAAGGACTTGATTGTAGGAAAATGTGCCCCAGCTAAAAGGTCTGCTCCTGTATATCTATCTAGGATCTAGGATTTTCCTGTATCTGTCATTCCTGTCAACCGGCAGATTAGATCTGTATGACAGTTGTCCTTATGCACCTAAACCATGCCCTTGCCCCTGTTGAAACCAGTGGGAATATGAGATTTAGAAGGAATGCAGGATCAAGCCCAGTATTCCTTACGCGGTATAGGATGCAGCAAGAACCCGTTAGTGTGTAAGTGTGATATAATGCCATTGCCATAGGATGAATACATAGCATGGTGGGAGTATTCAATTTTAAATAAAATATTACCCTATAAAGCAACTTTTGCCTAATCCATCAAACATAGTCATTCTGACCTGCTTAGTGAGCCCTTCAGAAAATAAATCCACTCACATTTACTGTGAACTGTTATAGCTTTCCCACATGATTTCCAGTATGTAGTTGTTCCTAGCTAGAACCTGGCCACAAATGCAGAAAATAATGAAAATGGCCCTCTGCACAGAGGTGAATTAATAATGTGATCTGTGCCCTGTGTTGACATTCCATAATGAAAAGCTTGCAACTAGAGGAGTACAGATTAAGCAATATAAAATGTTAAGACTATTGAAAATTCAAACATTTAAATATTTTATTATAAACTCAAAACTGGGTTCATTTTCACAGATGATACGTTTCCAGGGAATTTGGATCTGGCTCTGAGCAAAAACAGATAAAGGAAGGGACTGGTTTTGAGCAAAGATGGCTTTCACATTGAAAATATGCAAAAATGTGTATTGTCTGCAAGTTTTTGAGGCAAAAATGGCTTTTTCAACATTGAAAATAAAGCAAAATTTGAATTGTGCATAGACATTAAATGCTGAAAATTTTCATGTGAAATTCTGTTAAATTAAAATTGTGACTTTCACTGAGATCTTCTTGTACCAGCAAGACTTAGACCTTGGGCTTTCAGAGCAAGGGTTAGATTTATGTAGACAACATAAATGGGTAAAGACACATTGTTTTACCATAAAAGGACAAAGAGAGTGCTCTCCTTTGGAATGTGCATGGACCTGTGACCTGATTTAATAAACATGCTAGTCTCTGAATCCCACAGTCAGTGTTTAAACAGAGCTTAGAAAGACAAACAAGCTTTTCTACATTAAGTTGCTAGGAAGAATGGTTGGCTTCTTTCAGTTCATGGTGTGTTAGCATGTTTTTATTGCATTTTTATCTGTCATTAATATGGGATTACAGCACTGTCATCAGCTGTGATGCACTTCCATTGCTCTTGTATGACAGATTTAACAAGCTTCTTGGGTAGATGATAGTTACTATCACTATATGCAGAACTATATGACCATTTTCAAATAGGCAAGAGAGCATGAATTGCATTTCTTTCGTATCCATACCATTCTTATCCACCAAATTAAGCCACACGGTGATATGTCCATTCAATTCCTAGTCTAATCACACTATTGCCATAGGTAGCCTCATAAAGTCTTCCATTGCGTGTAGCCTCATAAAGTCTGATTCTGCGTGCCTTGGTCTCCTTGTCAGTGGGAGTTCTGAATATGCAACGAGTGCAGGATCTGGGCCATAATGTGGATGACTGCCACACACAAAAAAGTGATGATACAGGAGTTGCACTGTCATTCTGGAAATGTCGCTATCTCTGCTAGCATATATTTCTCAGACATTTTTGAAAAGCTGTTAACTTCTTCATTGTAATTAAATGTAATGTGTTCCAAACATTTTGTAAGCCACTTCATCAGGAGTGTGGCGCACCATACGTTGACAGACTTATACCTTCATACTGGCAATTCAACTAACCTCATTAAAAACTGCCTTATTTAACTTTTTATTACAGCATACGATAAGATTCATTAGACTTTTTTTGTATTGCAAAAATGTATGAAAATGATTCTCAAGAGTTATTCTGAAACCATTTTGTGCTATCTTTTTTCCACAGGGTTGTGTGCTTTTACTGCCAGTGTTCTAGACAGACACTATGGAAGAAAAATCAACAGGAATTAAACATTCACTGATACAAGTGTGCGTGTGTTTGCAGCTTCCACACATTAACCGCATGGTCTTTATGCAAAAAAACAATAAAAATTTAATTTAGCATGAGCCAATTTACAGAGCATGGAAATTCACTGTCATTCACGGGATTCGAGAGTGTGCAATTAACAATGCAGTGTATATACAAGATTGCCATGCTGTTAACAGCTTTATTTCAAGCAATTTGATGTCATCATAAAAGAAATAAATTCCTGTGGTCAGAGGGGACATAAGAAGATGAAATGGCTAAACCATGGAAAGACACTAAAATTACTAAATCCACAACAGCTCGCCTTATTTTTCTTGGACCCAAACTGTCAGGGTATAAAACACTATTTGTTTCTTTTTTAAACATCAATAGTTTTGCTGTAAATAAATAACACTGTATAAATTCTAACAGAAAATAGAATGAATGTTGATAAGGCACTGCCTCTTAGATCACAAACAGAATATTGCAAATGCATCAAACAAAATAGGTGTCTCAAATGGCTACACCTACAAGGATATTCTGCGTGTATCTTCACAGATTCTTGTATATTAGCAATTATTATGTTTGTATATGCAAAAATGCTAGCTTGATTTTAAAAAAATCTTTAAAATCTGCTGCAAATTTAAATGATTCCCAAAATGAGGAATTCAGTAGTTCTGTGAAAACTTTTCTTCAGAGTACTAATATTTTGATGCATGTGTTTCACCTTATTTTGATTAAATCTTTTCCAGTTTTGCAAACACTATACTGCAACATGATAAATAGGATTTTATCTGTAAACACAAAGCCCTTCATCTAATATTTGTTGCTGTTGCCAATTTTTCAATGAAATGACCTAAAAAAATACCATATACAGTAGTTGCATTATGGGGAGGGGGGTGCTATCTGTTCTCGCTTTATAATGGGGGTAATGCTTGCAGCTTTAGAACTGGGTTGGTGCTCTTATAAAGCACAAGTTTGGGATATTTTAAAATGAACCGAAGAGAAATTATTAGCTAATAGACTGGCAGCACGCTGTAAAATTATTACTGTATTGTGTACTGGCTATAAGATGTAGAATCTTTCAGTAAGCCAATCATCTGTAATCATTCTAGCAGTGTAATATTAGGTTGTTAAGGCTGCTGTGTTTTAAAGGGCATTTTTATTTGGGTTTTGGTGAAATACTTTAATTTGTTGATTATATTCATATGAAAACAACATTCATTGATAATAGCTCTAATTACGTATGTATGAAAACAACATACACTGGATGATCTAGCTGATTATTTAAGCATAAAATAAATTGTGTTAAAACTCTTCAATAATGTGTATTTTGCAGTATTATTACACCTTTTAAAATCATGTCTTCAGAATGCCAACCATTAATTATCCTAGCCCTTTTCACTTCTGTCTCACTCAGTTTGCTTTGTATGACACCAGTGAGATCGGCCATCACTTGGCATGCTTTGCCCAAGTGGACCAAAAAGGGGCGATGTATCATGCATCACATCCTCAACTAAATTAGGCAAAGCCCTGCTACCTACACCTGTTGGATTATTCCATTTATGAAACACATATAGCACTAGGGAAAGGATTGTGTTAAAACAGGTGTTACTTGACCAATGTCACAAGTTAAAGACAAATAGAAATGGAAGACTTGTGGCACCTTAGAGACTAACAAATTTATTTGAGCATAAGCTTTCGTGAGCTACAGCTCACTTCATTGGATGCATTCAGTGTCCTCTCATACATAACTCTGGTACCTTCTTTTACTCTATTTCACATAATCAAGACCCAATAAAAATACTACTTAACAAACTAGTTTCATTCCCAACACATCCATAATCACACTGATCCCCTGTAGATCATACACATACCTCCTGTACATTATATATCATGGATCACCATAATAGTGCCAGCATGATGGAATAAACCACCATGAATCTACAATCACTGTCCAATACTGGGTCCATCCTTTTGGACACTGTGATACATGCCATCAATCAATTGACTCTATTGTTTGTGCCATTCTTAATTATTTTACAATAAATAACTGACCTATTTACAATATTCACATACTCCCTTTTACCTGGTGTAACAGTATTAAAAATGAGATATTTGTCACTAACTGGCATTACTGGTGTTTCATGCATTACACCATTTTCATCATCCTTCCAAATTCTGGGCCAGATCGTGTCACGGAATAAATTGGGATAGTTCCATTGACTTCAGTGGCGTTCTGCCAATTTACACCAGCTAAGGATCTGTTCTTACGTGTTTATTATATGTTAATGTTAGCACATCAACTTATCTTTGTCAATATTTGTCAACATGGCTGGAAATTTTGGAAGCTGTGGCAATAAATGAAATGTTCTTTATAATTCTTAGAAGACATTATATGTTGCAGTACATATTTTACCCCAATCATAATATTTACTGCTGCCATATTCAAATGCCTCTGCTCATCACCCCAGTGAATTTGAAGGGTAACTATCACCTCCCTCACTTACTCTGTTGAAGCACAAGTAGTTATTACTGGGGTCCACAGTCCTGTGTGACTCTGTGATATTCCAATATCGTCATCTTCACTAGTCAGTAGCAATCTACCCACCAGAGCAAGGATTCTCAGACCCTTTCATAATGTAGACCATAGCTTAAACCATATCTGCCTTGTAAAGAGATTGTCTTGTAGACACTCTCTTTCAAAATCATACAGACCACTTGCCCTCCCATCCATGATTGTATGACATCCCTGAAACAACTACAATCATTGTTTGCTTGGAAAAATAATACGTATTGCATGCATTCTAGCTATCTTTTAATGCAATTTACAAGATAGAAACCAAGAAGAGAGCCAGCACATGACAGCCATGCTAATCACCAGCAATCATGAGTCTGAGAACCACTGCACTACAGTCTTGAGTTCCTCTTTATCTCTCTCATGATAGCTAAGAGAACTAATGGCAATCAGGATTTTGTCTCATCCATGTCTTCTCTGCAGAGGCCCCTTTCAGAGTTCCTATTTGATAGAAGAAGGGGCTTTAGTTATATTTGGTGGACAGAAGTTCTGTTTCCTGAGACAGATAATTATACGAAAGTATACATGTGAACCTAGCTGGGCCTCAGACCAACAACAGAGAAGCTGGAAGCAACAACAAAAGTTAAGAAGAAGCCAGATTTACAAGAAGGTTAGAACTGGAGCAGAGTTTACCAGAGCCCTCAGCCCTGTTTCTCTGTTGTCCTCCACCTTGTGCAATCATTTACACCAGGGCACAGTGAGTGGAAAATGCTGCCATTCCGATTTCTACAGAAGATGCAAGACTGTGGAAAATCAGAGCTTCATTTTGGGACAGCAACTGGGTGAAATTGTTACAGGTTCAGTATGGTTTCTGGGCTGAATATGCAGCAAGGAAAGATTTTGTGTGTGCGCATGCAGACAGACACACAAATGCAGTGAGAAGAATTAAGAAGAGAACTGTCAACCTGCCAACCCTGAGGTGTCGCTAGCATCTGTTGGTTCACATGCCTTTCAATCCCAGTTCCATTCTCTGATCTGGGTCTCTACAATGGCAAAACTTCCATTGACTTTAATGAGGCCAGGAATTCATCCTAAATATTTATTACACAGCTCTGGGATTACTAACGTATGGAAGGGGAGGAACTACCCTGACTGGTTCTACCAAAGTGTGTGGCTTTATTAAGCAACCACAACATTTAAATGCTGATAAACTGTCATATTTTCTGTAAAAATTGAACATCAATGGTAAACTGTACAAAGCTGTTTCTATTCAATCCTTAGTGTGTGATGCACTTGCATTGATATTATTGATCTCACTGTGTGCAGGGGTATACATTTTAATCGTGCACAGAGGGTGTTATTTCCTAATGACAAATAATAGGAACCTTCTGATAAAGGAAAATATGCTTTTGTGGGCAAAACCCTGCCCTGAGAAGATGAACTGTGTAGTCGGAATGGGAGGGACGATAAGAACTAGTCTCATCTCTGTGTTAGGCACGAGAGCCATTCTGCGGGGCAAAGGAGATGAGCTGCCAGGTGCAAAGAGGAGCAATGTGTATCTCCAGGTAGGATGTGCTTCTAGCTGAAGGCATGACCTTATCCATAGGCAAGGGACCACACTCTCAGCGGGCTGTGGACCTGCAAGCACTTTCTTGAGCACTATGTAGGAATCCTGCACTGCTCCTGTGAGGGTGCACCTGGGGAAGAAGAGCAGGGCTATGAAATCTGTACTGCCGCACAGAAAAACCATATTAATGAAATAAACATTTACCATGTCTTGGTGCCTGGTGATCTGTGACCGTATCAAGACAGACTCTTAGTGCACACCCCTAGCCTGCCCTGCCACAGAGGGCCCTGACTCAGTGGAACCAGTGCAGTTCCGCTGCAGAATGAGGGAGGGCCTGACTTCAGACCATGCTAAAGTTATGTGCCCACAGAGGATCCTAATTCCCGAGAATGCAAGGAGTGTTTGAGGAGCAGTACAGGCCGGTGGTGCTGTGAATGCAGATGCCCTGGCAATTCACCTATGAGGTTGTAGCAGTGGCTGCAGAGGCACATATGATGCCTTTGTGAAGCAAAGGCATCATATGTGATTCCTTCCTCCAAGCCACCTCCAAAATCCCTAGCATGCAGCTTAGCCATTCAGGCTGTTTGCTGAATTCCAGAATTTAGACCATAATATATTTGTGCAAGGGGAGAGAAAATTAAGATGCACAGGGGCATCTTAATTCTAAATTTCCTGAGTTTAAAACTGCAAGCACATTAAATATTGGGTGGACACAGTTGTTTGCATTGAATGTATTCAAACAAAGCAGTAGCTCAGGGTGCACGGGGATAGCAGGATTAAGACATCCTTTTATTTAGCATCAAACAGAAGGAGAATGTGGGCTGGAAATTTGCTAAATCCTAGTGAAACACAAATTCTCCAGTAACAGCAAAGGAAATGCAAACAGCCCTGGCATGATCATTATCTTTTAGTGTAATTTTCTCTTTTTTTTCCTCCCACTTTTTCTCCAGTGCAACATTACCCTTACAAGCAAGATTGAAAGTCATGTGAATATGCTCCTATTCAAATTAATGGTATTGCAAATTGCTGTATTCGTTGATGGTGTGTGTTTAATGCTGTTTGGGTTGTTTGTGTAATATTCTACATCAGTTGTTCAATTTCTGCAAAAATCCATATTCTATTTCTTTTGTAATTGGCTGTTAGAAATTACTATACTCTCTGAAGTAGAAGATATACTAGTGGGATAAACTACAGCTGTCTGCAGGAGTTCTGCACCACCATCCTTATTAGTGCTAATTGAAGAGGTTTCCTGGAGGTAAAACCTGCCTCTGGCTGGGGTGCTTTTGTGCAGTACAGCTTCACAGGAAATAGTCACTCAGGACGATAATTTTAAGGTAATTACATGGAAATATACTGTAGAAAACTAAAAATAAATAAATAATTCCCAGAATTCTGCTCATTAGTACTTAAAAGGAAAAATGATGAATTAGTGATTTTTTATTTTAAAAAATCACTCAACCAACTATTTAGAATGAGTGCAATTATACAAAGACGTTAAGTAACTCGGTCTATGCTGAGACAGTGGCTCTCCAGTTAAATAAAGGACAAGTACACAGGACCCGATTTGTGCATTTATGCAGTGGTGTGGTAATGGTTTTACCTGGCAGTGGAGTATTTTAATATTCAGCTCTCTATTCAATATCTTCAAGTACTTGGTACATGTTTTTGTATTTAATGTGTTCTCATTTGTTTTGGAGTGTATGGATGGTAATTGGGTTTATAAATTCTATGTCAATTTTTTTTTAAAGGGTCAAATTCTCTGCAGGTGTAACTCCATTGAGTTCAGTGGAGTTACACCAACAGAGATTTGGCCACACAACTCCGTGATAAAGAAACAATCTAATGAAGAGAGACTGCACAGACACTTACCAAAAAGTGCCATTCACTTCAATGGACAGACCCTGAAAAATAGAATGAACAAAATACAGCGTTTTCTTTTCATCCCAATACCCCAGATATTTGCAGACACGCATTAACCTCTCTTCGGACATATCGGTAATTCTGTGAAATTAGCAATGGGTAAGGACACCCAGCATCCCCAGGAGGAACTCAGCGCCTCACAGGGTCAAGTACTTCATTTGAACTATACATTCAATCTTGCAGGCCAGACAGACAGGGGCTCAAATAGGCCACAATTGCAGAGCCACAGAATTTGCTGCAGAATCCACCCCTTGACAGGTTTGTTCTCCAGAATCAGAGTTTTCATCTTAAAAAAACGTTTGTTCCCAGCTTGTATGTTTGCAAGGAAAACCTTAAAAGCATGCACCAAATGTAAATCAGTGTTGTTTTGCTGACTCTGCAGGCAGATGGGAAAAGCAGCTCTGAAGGTTGTGCATGTCCCCATTAATTTCAATAGCTCATCAACTCTGAGACTCAAAGCTGACAATCTGAATGTCAACATTGTCAATTTTTATTCTGTTGATCATTTTAGCAGATCATCCAGTTAATACACATATCCCACAATACCAAGATGCATTCTATGTCCTGACTGCTAAAAATGAATTCTATTTAATATTTCTATAAATAACAGTGAGTTTATTGTACTGATGTATTATTCAGGTTCATATTTTGTTCAGAACAAATCTCTAATTTTAAATTTAAAGGAAACTGTTGTACCATTTCCAGGCTGTCATACCAGAGTGCTGCAGAAATTGACATAGCGGGAGGGGATACAGAATTTATGTCCAGCCTGCTGCACAGTACATAGGGCCTTGCATAAAGGGTCATCCGTTATTGCATGGAAAAGGAATTCGTAAAGGGGGGCCAAAGTGTGTTGTTCAGAAAAATGTATATGCCACACTTTTCCTAATTGCTGACACCGAAAACAGGATGCTAATTGTAAATGGTTTTATTTATTTGATCCTAAATCCAGGAGCAAGGTACAAATGTATAATAAAGTTTACTGGTATTTTCCCCATCATGCTAATGTTGAATTATTGAGAAGCCATTTGACCTATAAAACAGAAATGCACAGCACTCCTTGGAAAGCTCCCAGAAGCTGTATATTATTATAGCACAACAGCTAGAACAACAAAGCGAACCTACTACAAATGATGAAAAAAATTTGGGGGGGAAATTACAAAAAAAGAAAAAAACAAGAGCTAACTATCTCATTGGATGTACATTTATTGCTACATGACACAACATCATAATTAATTATACTGTACTCCACAGATATTTCTCTTTATATACTCCTCTGCTAGGAGTGGTGGTAAGAAAGAAACTGTGTATTTCTCACCCGGTTTTATCATAGGCCCATAGCTTCATTTTCTAAGTATCGTATCGTGCATTACAGAAGGCAATGGACCTTTAGTTGTTGATTTCAATGGCAGCAGGATTAGGCCATAAATTCTGAGCCTAATACTAGTGAATTGGTTTCCCTCTGTTCTTAGTACTGTTTTTCAAATGAAACTTTTGCCTATGTACTAGCTATTATCCTAATGGTAGAAGGATCTATATAGAGATATTCTCATTTTAATGCTTTATTGCGAGGTAATTCCATTTGACTCACAGTTGTTTGTTTATTTCTTAAACAAGATTTTTTACATTAATTGCCTTTTAATATGCATTTGTATATTTTCTTGAATTGGTTTTTTTTTTCTGTCTCAGAATAGGATACAGAATTTTCCCTGGCTTCAGCTCTCCTTTTTCCTTTCAACCTATACAATTTAAATATTGGTAATATAATTGTAATGTTACAAATGACTAATGGCCCTCTGTATTGTATTAAAGATTTTATTAAACCCTCAAGCATACCTATTCGAACCACCATAGCTAGCAATACGTTTTATAAAAATATTGCTGTCAATTATGTGAATTTATGAAATTGTGTTGTAATTGCCCATTATCTCCTGTAATGATAGTTGCTGTCAAGAAATACATTCCTTTTTATTGCTTCCTTTTTTATGTGAATTTGTGCTCTGTCATTACGTCGTACTGGATGACATTTTAAGATTCTTTGACTGGATAGGAACATGTTTGTGTATATTGTTATAAATGTTTTTTAAAAAAAGATGGTACTCTTATTTTCATATCTTTTGTATTTCCTGATGCTGAGAGAAGCCTTTTCAGGCCAGCCAAACAAAATATTTAAGCTAATTGTCAGGTTTCAGAGTAACAGCCGTGTTAGTCTGTATTCGCAAAAAGAAAAGGAGGACTTGTGGCACCTTAGAGACTAACCAATTTATTTGAGCATGAGCTTTCGTGAGCTACAGCTCACTTCATCGGATGCATACCGTGGAAACTGCAGCGGACTTTATATATACACAGAGAATATGAAACAATATCTCCTCCCACCCCACTGTCCTGCTGGTAATAGCTTATCTAAAGTGATCATCAGGTTGGGCCATTTCCAGCACAAATCCAGGTTTTCTCACCCTCCACCCCCCCGGATTTGAGCCTACGGGCCACCTGTGGCTCAATCAGCACCCAGCTGCAGCCCATGTGACATCCTCAGGGCCATACAGCTAGTGTATATATTGTGTGGGTGTGGCCCACATAACAGAGAGAGCTGCATATGCGACACACAATGGTAAATAGGTTGAGAACCAAAGATCTAGTGGCTCAAGCGCAAATCAGAAAGACAGGATTCCTGGATTCTCTTGCCAGCTCTGCAAATGACTAGTGTGTGTGATGTTGAACACAGCTCATAATTTCGATGCCTCAGTTTACCCATCTGTAGAATGGATATAATCATACCTGTTTCACACAGGTGCTATGAAATTCAGGGGCAGGTTCTGTGGTCAGGCCTCTTTGCACTATACTGCTGAAGTTCAACAGCCCCAAGCACATGTTGCTTGCCATTGCAGGTAGTTCTGACATGCTCGGGAACTGGACCAGTTCATAGCCACCCTAGCATAGGGAAACACAAAGATGACTTATAGTCACATTTGCACAGATGCCCTCCAGGGCTGCACTGTATGCTGCCTGCCGTGGGCAGGTGGGCATTGCTGGGGCGGTATTGCTGACAGAGGTGTGGCGGGGGCAAGAGGGAGGAAAGAGGGGACTCTCAGCTGGCACACTCAGGATGTTCACTGGTGGGAGTGAAATGTTGGCTCTGAGGGCCAAAGGGTGACGAATGACAGGTGTCAGAGTTGACAGTGCATCAATTGCAGCTGCACCCATGATGACACACATTTAGTTGAGTGTGAATGGATTCAGACTTATCCCAGTTACCGCTATACAATTTTGGAGTAAATTAGTCCTTGTCTACACAGGGATTTGGCCCCATTTACAGCCACGAGTGGCTAGTTTAGATAGGAAAAGCCCCCCTAAGCTGTGTTTTGCACCTATGCAGCTTACCAAGTTTCTGTAGTTTAGAGCAGTAACTCCTGCAGAGGGGCTCATGGCAGCTACAGATCAAGGGCAATAATGTACTGTGCAGCCATCTTCCCTTCTGTGCAGCCCCATGACACATTTTCTACTGTTTTTTGGTGGGTTCTGCTGCCCTCCACCCCTCCAACATAAGCAAGCAGACACTCTCTTATTTTACTACCTCTCAGCTTCATAGGCAGATAAAATGGTGTAGGATAGCAGAGCATTTAAATTCACTACTTGAAGACACGTTTGTTCTGCAGCTGGCTCCTGTCTTTAAAAAGGAGTTTTGATAATTCTACTTTTATCACATACTTGTACTTTTTCATTGATCTGGTTAATATTTCACTGATGTGCCAAGCACGACATTTCATTGTCTTCAGCGCTAATGTGCATAGCATTTCCTCTCACTCTCAATGTATTTATTTGGAATATTCAGATATGAATTGTAATTAAATGTATGTACATTATTTTCCAATTTACTGTGTAGAGGGAGAGGGTGTGGTCTCAAGCCCAAACATCAGAAACCCCTGAGTGTTAATCCTGCCCTTCACCTGACTCATGCTGTCACTGGGTAAGCCATATCACCATTCTACTTCAGTTTACTCAGCTGAAATGTAAAGTGAGGCGAATACTTTCTTGCTTCACAGGGCTGTAGTGAGGATTAATTAGATAATGTGTCAGCACAGTTTGGACCTGGGAAGTGCTATAGACATGCCAAGTTATCATTCATTATTATGCACACAGGGAAAAAGACTGAGGACAGGGCATATGTGGGAGAAGGCGGTAAAGCAACAGAGCTGGACCTAGTGGGAAAATTCTTATATCACTTCCATATTATTTTTTCTTTGTACTGTACCTACAGTTCCATAGCCTATTCTACAGAGATTCTACCTAGCTGCTAAGGCATTTCTAAAATACCTATCATTTCAATAGTTAAGATGCCAATCTTGCTATCAAATTTCCATGACTAGACCTCACGCCTTCATGGGACCCCACTGATTTCAACAGAGCTCCACACATGCAAAATGATTCACCTCCACAGATTCAATTGTACGACTGGGACTGTAGTGTATATTTGGTCTAATCTAGCTGTCATTTATACCACACACATTGTGGAGATATATAAGGATAAATTGCATTTAGCTCAACCCTTTGGCTATATCACCTGCACTCTACCCCCTAATCTAGCTCAACCTGGGCTGCCTGAAGAAGAGCTTTGTGTAAGCTCGACAGCTTGTCTCTTTGACTAGCAGAAGTTGGTCCAATAAGAGATATTACCTCACCCACCTTGTCTGGACTGTTTCTCACATTGCAAATCTCTAAGCAGCTTCAAATAACTGCCACTATACTGTCCAAAAACGTTTCTTTCACTCCACGCCATTCCCCTCCACAACGTGTGAATGGGAAACATGGGAACCCTCCTTTGCAAAGGGATACAGCACTAGTTTCAAGCACTGGCGATTCTGGAGGTATCAGACCTTAAAATCCCAGCATTTGATTTATAGAAAGGCTATTTTTTCAGCCAGTTTCCCACACATACATTTTCTAAAGGCTATTTGATATGGGCTGGGATTTTCAAAGGAGCTTAAGAGAAGTAGGTGCCAACTCTTATTGAATTTCAACAGGAGGTCAGTGCCTAGCTCATCGAGGCTTCTTTGACAACCCAGTTATAATTTTTAGCTCCCTCTGAGGCCTTACAGTTAGCCACAGGGTAATTAGTCAAGCTGACTTGACACACAAAGGGATACAAAAATACTGCACACATAAAAATGTTAATACGCTCTCAAACATTTCTAAAATTGGGGTTGGGTATCTTTTGGAAAATATATGACAAATCCAATTCTATGAGATGGAGTGATGATAATCAAGATTTTATTGCACTGAAGTGAGGCAGAGGGGAATGCCTCTAAACCTGGTCTTGACCGACCACTACACTCTCCCTGGTAGGCTTAGCCAAACCAGCCCTGCCCCTGCCAGAAGTGGAGGGGCAAAAGGCGAGAACCCAACAGCTCAGCTGGGCTGAGCTAGGGAAAGAGACAGATGTCTCAAGCCCTCTGCAGGACTCTGGACCAGGCCCCTAGCCACCAGAGGTAACTGAGGACAAAGAAGAGTTATTGGGACGACGACCACCAGCCATCTACCTAGAAGCTGCTAAGGACATGTGGCCAATGGAACTGTGCTAATCTCACAAAATTGAACACCCTAACCCCACCCCTTCCCTGAGGCCTGCCCCCTGCCCTGACCCTTCCCCAAGGCCCTGCCCCCCCCCCGGCTCACTACCTTTCCTCCTCCCTCAGTGGCGTGCTCTCCCCCACTCTCACTCACTTTCATTGGGCTAGGGGAGGGGGTTGGAGTGCGGGAGGGGGGTGAGGGCTCTGGGGATGAGGGGTTTGGGGTGCACAAAAGGGCTCCAGACTGGGGGGCGGGGGCCAAGGGATTTGGAATGTGGGAGGGGGCTGTGGGTTGAGGCAGGGCATTGGAGTCTGGGAGGGGGTGGGGCCAGGGATGAGGGGCTTGGGGTGCAGGAGGGGGCTCCAGGCTGGGGTCAAGGAATTTGGAGTGCAGGAGGGGGCTGCAGGTTGAGGCGGGAGGTTGGGGTGTGGGAGAAAGTATAGGCTCTGGGCTGGGGGTGCACGTTCTGGGGTGGGGGCCAGGAATGAGGGGTTTGGGGTGCAGGGGGGGGATTCTGGGTTTGGGGGGCTCAGGGATGGGGCAGGGGGATGGGGCTTGGGGCGCAGGCTTACCTCGGGTGGCTCCCGGTCAGTGGTGCAGCGGGGCTAGTCTCTACCTGTTCTGGCACAACGCTGCAACCCAGAAGTGGCCAACAGGTCCAGCGCCTAGGCAGCAGGGGCCAGGAGACTCCGTGCACTGCTCTCGCCCACAGGCATTGCCCCCAGCTCCCGTTGGCCAGGAACCACGGCCAATGGGAGTGCGGAGCCGGTGCTCGGGACAGGGGCAGCGTGCGGAGCCCCATGCCCACCCCACAATGCAGGACCCGAACCTACTGGCTGCTTCCAAGGCACAGCGTGGTGCCATGACAGGTAGAGACTAGCCTGCCTTAGAGTCGCAGCACCGCTGACCAGACTTTTAATGGCTCAGTCAGTGGTGCTAACTGAAACCGCCAGGGTCCCTTTTCGACTGGGCTTCCAGTCAAAAACCAGACACCTGGCAACCCTAACTGCAGTAGGGAGTAGCCCAGGGGAACCAGAGACTAGTCCAGCTGTGCTGCTGGAAAGCAAGTCAGTGTATTTCGGTGGGATCTCCACTGACCCAGTGTTGGGACCACCCGCCATTGTTAGGGCCCTTGGGTAAGACCCGGTAGAGTAGGGTGGGCCTCAGTCCTCTTACCCTCATTACCAACCTCGCCCCTAAGTGGAAGCCTACTCATCCTAGGCCTGGAAGGCTCTTCCTTGTTGTGGCCTGCCCCAGCCAGGCAGCTGTGGGCCCCTAGTCTGTAATTACTGTCTGCTCCAGCCTGAAGGCTGAAGCTAAAGACTGCTTGCTGATCTGCCCCACTCAGAGGGCCGGAGCTATAGACCGAGTTGCTGTCTTCCCCAGCCAGGAAGCTTTTGGGCTATAGGCTGT